ACGCTTGTGAGCAATGTGGTTCTTCTGCATGGCCTGCAAAAAAATAGAAAGAGACTTATAGTAAAACCGAGCAGAAAGTTACGCAAATTAGAAAGATAAGCAAAGGAGGTTACTTACCAACACCATTGACTTTGTGGCCGAGCGAATGGCCTTCAGCTCGGTGAGATGGTTGTAGTGCTCCATGTCGGCTGGAAGGCAAACGCTCTTGGCCAGATTAAATGCCATCAGGTGGTCTTTTTCAGCGACCACTGAATCAGTATCCCGTATAGCACGGTTTTGAAAAGTGATCTTTGGAACCCACTTGGAAGAGCTAGCTCGGTCAGAGCGCTCCGGTTGTGGGCTCGGTGGAGGGCTTGGCGACAAGATGGTATCTTCTTCATCAACAAGGCGTGGCTCGGTTATGGAAGTCCGAGCACGCTTGTTTGGACGAGATGATGAGGGTTGATGGGATGGAAGGGCCACCACGGTCTCTTGAGTCTGGCCGGCTAGTGGTACCTTGGGCTGGTTTGTTTCGGTCAGGAGGGCCCTTACAGCACGTTTCTTGGCCATTTCTTGTTCGGCGGTTAGTGGGATGAGATTGATTTGAGGCAAGGATGGATCTGGATCTGGCTCTGGCGAAGGTTCAAGAAGGAAATCGGTCACTCTGGTCTTCCTACGGCCACTATATCGGTAGGTCGGTTCGAAATTCAGTAGCTCGGCCCAGTCTCTGTTTGGATATCGCAGTGCAGCTCGAAGTGTGTTTAAGTTGGGATAGCTGTATTGAGACTTGAGAAAGTTCAAATCTGCAGGCAAGGAGAAAACAGTCAGAGCAGTTTAACATCAGAAAATCGAGGTAAAACAAAGCATGGAATTTAGCCAAGATAGTCCTACCAGCTACACCCTTGTTCCAATTTATTCGGTCGCCCAGGATCTAGGCTTGTTGGTCCTCAAAGTTCCCAGATACCCAGAGGAAATCATCATCATTCATATCTTTATCCGGGGTATTCTTTATTATCTTTTCACGCCGGCGCCTTAGTCTTAAATAATAAACCCACCCATCTTCATTTGAACCTAAGGAATATTGGTGGAAAAGCTCGACTAAACCGAGGTTAAGGCCAGCCCGGCAGTTTAGCTCGGCGATACCATTTATTATACGGTATGAATTTATGGAAAGCTGGGTAGGGTAGAGGTTGGTTTGCCTAAGAAATTCACAGAGAAGAGGCTGTACAGGGAATCTTAATCCGGTTTCTACAATGGAAAGAAGGGTAAAAGGAACAAAACCAAGATTTCCCCAAGGTATGATATCTAGTTCGGCTAGGGTGAGGTGGACATCATCAGGGATATGGTAGTCCCTTCGGAACTCGGCCATAGCACCTGGGGTGTTTACCAAATATCTATATTTACCCATGAGGTTTTAAGTTATGAATAAATAAGCAGAGTATTAGCTCGGTCCTGAAAGGACGCTCAGTAGCTCGGTCGAGCGTTCAAGGGAGTGCCTGGCAGCCTAATTTTGCAAAGTAAAAAAAAAAAAAAAAGAGATATTAAGCACAGATCGTTGGACCGTGCCAAAAGAGACAAAGGGAAAATAAATGAAGTCCTAGCTTGGTTACGCGGGCCACTACCTCTTCTTAGCCCGGTTTGAGCAAAGGCCCTTAGCCCGGTTAAGTCTTTGGGGCAGCATTCTTAGTTCGGTCTGAACTAAGGGAGTTGGTTTAGCCCAATATTTAGCCCGGTCGGTGGTTGAGGCTTTCTAGCACCGTATTGCGCAAACTTAGTACGGTTCGATAACTCGGTTAAAAGAAGCAGAGGATCCCTAACTTATGGAAGCTATAAGTATGGTGTGAAGTTTTAGTTCGGTTGTTAGGTGTGGCTAGGTTTGCGCTTAATACAAACAATATCCTAGTTCGGTTGGGGTGTGATTTTGGATCAAATACAATGTTTCTCAGATTATTCGTGAAATACAAGTGGTTTTTATTACGTGGTTTTTTCCAAAAAAATGGAAGCAAACATGATATGTATTTTGAAAAACATATGAATACTAAACTATCTATTGTAAGAACAGTACGAAATAAATGAAAAGGAAACAGATTCAAACCACTTACCAGCTCAAGATGGAGGAACTAAAGAAGGGAACGATGGCAGCAAGAGCGCAAGTTTTGGAGGCACTATGCTTGAGAAAAGTGAAAGCACTGAGAAGAGAGTGAGAAGAAGGTGAATAGTGCAGGTGAAATGATTCAAAAACAAAGGGTTTGGTTTTTTGGAAAGAGAGAGAAATGACAGGACTGTTCAAAAAACACGAGGTACGATGACATCGTGACAGCTATACGTGGCTAATGAGAGTTTGCCACGTGTCCATGGAATAGAAATTGATTCAGTTACAGTGATTGAAAGGACGTTTTGACCAGACAGATGGAGCTCGGAATGAATTTAGCTCGGTGGGAAGGCTAAGGTTTTTAGCTCGGTTGAAAAGCTAAAGCTTTTAGCCTGGCTGGTAACAGGTAATCCCTATCATGCTACGCAGATAGAATTAAGGGGCAATTGAGAGGGTAATTTATTTGAAAATTAGGTCGAGCTGGATCTATGGGCTGATCTGTGGACCATAATAAGAGAGGCCGAGTAAAAGGGACTAGAAGTTAGCTCGGTCCAAGAGAGCTCTGCAGTTAGCTCGGTCATACCATGTTGAGCCGAAGTAAGGTGGGCTTTCCTCAGAACCTTGCTATTGGTTAGCTCGGTCCAAGATCATTGTGGATAGCACGATTTCAGACAACCCAGTTGGAATATGTCAACCGAGATACACGCGCAGTGAAAGGAAGAGCCGAGCTAGTTGGAGCTCGGTCTAGTCTGCGGCTTTAGCGTAGCCCTGTTTTCTCGGTTGTAACATCCAACCATGGTAAAACCATCTGACTTGGTTTAAGCAGTGAGGGGGGTGTTGAAGGATAAGCATTATCTTTCAGGAATGTGATTCCTAGGAGGACTCTACATGGAAGAGTAAGAGTCCTACTAGGATTGTGCCACACGGAACCTATAAAAGCTCATAACATCACCTATGGAGAGGTAACACAACTTTGATTCTCGAATACATAGAGCTTTTGTCTATTTGTCTATTTTGCTGACTTAGGCATCGGAGAGGTATCCGGCACACACCCGCCGGCTAACTCACGTTTGTGTTTTCAAGGAGTAAAGCGACGACGTTTGGAGGAGTGCAGACTTGATCAACAAGATTATACGAGAAGATTATTTCTTGCTCATACAATAGCTTAATATACATGTTATACGCTTGATTTATTGCTTCAAAGAATTAAAAACAATAACTTTAATGAGATGCATCCAATTGGAATCTTTAACAAATAAAAATCCTCTTGCCGACTATTGGTGGCAGCCTATTCTTGTATTCAAAAGCTACTGCCTAGTGCAAGGATAGAAAAATCATTATGGTGACTTTTTTAGTTATGGAAATAGTGTGCAACATAGCAAAGGCCTAGGTTAACATTAGTGGATTGTTGGGTTATGATTTTTGTCTCTAAATTATACACACGTTATATTTGTGCATATATAAATTGCACAAACACAAAAATAAATAGAGAAACTATGAAATATGGACACTTCAAAATTGGTGTCGTGATGGTGTCCGACATGCAGATACGCCAGGGACATGGGAGCACGCCAGAGACACGTACGGGACACGCCAGATGGCAAGTCCCTTTAATTTAATGATTTTTTTGTAAGGGACACGCGTGTCCATATCGGAATACGACATAGGACACGGCGAGGCTCACTTTCTTCTTTTCCCTCTCTTATTTAGTGCTTTTGTGAAGAATATTATTGGATGTTGAATGTTTTCCCCTTCTCGTCTTAGTTGTTGTTATTGTTTATTATGATTTTTTTGTGAATGGATGATCTATTAATTTGTTTAAAAGTAGTGGTTATTGTACGAGTGCAAAATAATCTTCTCGTATAATCCTGTTGATCAAGTTTACACTCCTCCAAACATCGTTGTTTTGCCACCTGAAAACACAAACGTCTAAAAACACAAACGTGAGCTAAATGGCGGGTGTGTGCCGGAAACTCCTCCGATACCTAAGTCAGCAAAATAAACAATAGACACAAAAGTTCTGTGTATTTTAGAGTAAGAATTGCGATACCTGTACATAGGTCCTGCTACGAGCTTTTATAGATTTCGAGTGGCACAATCCTAATAGGACTTTGTTTCTCCAATGTAAAGTCCTAGGAATCAGAAAGTTAATGCTCATCTTTCCACACCCCTCTCACTGTCTAACCAAGTGAGATGGATTTACCACGGTAATACGACAAAACAACTGGGCTAACACATGCTGAGGCGACAAGTTTTACCGAGCTTTCCTTAGCTCGACTCTACCCTGCTTGGCCCAGCTTAGTTCCAGCTTGCTTGTACAACGTAACTTTTTATACCCCAGTTCAGAATACTCGAACCGAGCTAATTCAGTCATTCTTAACCGGGCTAACAGGGCCCAGCGACAAAGCCCATTCTACTCAGCCCACAGCTCGGCCCGCTTCCTGCCAGTCCTAGTTCGACCCAAATTTACACTTTTTATCCTCTCAGTTATATTTATTGAATTAATATTAATGTGTTAGTGGTTATTGGTGAAGGGTGGCTAGGGGAGAGCTAAGTGGGTGGGATAAGGTACAACTATTTGGTGTGGTTTGAGCGTTGGATAGAGCGGCTGTAGTGGCTTTGGCTAGTGGCATTGAGGAATGACTGTTTAGATGTTGGGGCATTGATGAATGGTTATTGTTTACTGTTGTTGTGTGAGGTGCTTTATAGAGGTGACTGTCGTGATGGTACATGCATGTGCATATCAACTGTTTGAAGAAATGATTATAAGACATGAGTAAATATTGTGGCAGATAATAGAAGAATCTATTAAAAATATTTATGACATTTTAAGAAAATTAAAGGATGATATAAGTAAAATTTGTTAGTTAACTCTCAACTAAAACCACAAGATAAAAAGTGTAACGTGAGTATAGATATATTTCTTAAAACCACAAGGTACTAATGGATCTGTTTGAAATCGGATTGTTGGTATAATTTGCCCAAATATAAGTATAGTAAGTGATCTGAATTTATTGATTTAAACCATAACTGTACGCACCTTACCGAATTCTAAAGAAGAGGAGAGATTATTAAGTTGGGTAAATCCGAGGCAATGAAATCAACGAACTAATTTCTTCTTAATTTCGGCAAATTTGGTAGGCAACTCCAATCCAATCCATATCACCAACCAACAACAAACTCGAAAGCAAAGATATATAGAGAGAGAGAGAGAGAGAGAGAGGAAAAAGAAGAAGAGATTCCTAATTTTATTGGGTCGGCCACCAAACAATCGATTTACCAATTCCATTTTCTTCTCCTCTTCTCCAAGGTAACAATTTTTCTATCCTAAAATCTCTGCAAATTGTTCTAAATTTCAATTCAACTCACAATCCAACGAAATCATTCGATCGAGATCGCTTGACTTCAATGCTTCTTTTTTTTTTCTTTTCTTTTTTTTTTGTAAAAAGATATGCATTTTGTTTGGTTTTGATTTTAGGGTTTGGTTGGCATGGCTGACCACTTGGTTCTGAATGTGGACCGGCTGGTGAAGTCGGCAGGGGAGGGGGAGGAGGAGGAGGTTCGGAGGCCGGTGGAAATTGCCGCCGTGGTGGTGGTGGAAGAGGAGGTGGAGGAGGGAAGTGAGGGTTCCGATGAGGATGAGCCGCTCATAAACATGGCTGAATGCCGCATTTGCCAGGACGAGGATTCTGTTCAGGATTTGGAGATGCCTTGTGCTTGTAGTGGCAGTCTCAAGGTCATTTCTTGATAATAATACCCTTTTTTTTATATTTTGTTTTTGTGTGTTTCATTGTTTTTGTGCTGTTTTATTACATAATTAGGAAAATTAAATAAAGGTTACATTCTGGAAATGTGATTTGGGGATTTAGTCAAAGGTGAACTTGTTTCCTGAAACAAAGTTACAAACTGTTTTTCACAAAAATAAACACGAAAAACAGATATTTTTTAATTTTTAAAAATTATTTGAAAAATAGAAAATCATATGAAAAGAATAAAAAAAATTCCCTAGAAAAGAGATTGTGAAAAGTCAACAAACGCATCTTCTTCATTTTCATTCTTGGAAATTTGAAAATAGATTTTTTTTTTTCTTTTCTTTTCTGCTTTCTGCTTAAGAAATATGAAAATAATTAATTAATTGATTAATTTAGTTTTAAAATGCGGGATCAATTTAGGTTTAGAATGTTTAATATGGAATTCAAGCACAATCTCACATCGAAAAGTTTTAATAATAAATACATTTCATGCAGTACGCTCACAGAAAGTGTATTCAACAGTGGTGCAATGAGAAAGGAGACATAACTTGTGAGATATGTCACAAGGTAAGATTGTTGTTGCTTACTTATCGTTGTACTATTTTGTCTCATAGTTTCGTATGTTGTTTTGACTTGAGCTTCAGCCCGTTGTTTAAACACTTGTACAAACATAATCTTCTGAAGGTGGGATGAAGGTTTTAATCATATAGCTTATGTTACTCCTAAAATTTTCAAAAACTAGTTCCAGTATTATATAATAAAAAAAACTTGGAATAGTTTTAGCCACTTTCAGCACTGGTGTGACATTGTTCTATTTATTTAGTTGCTAATATCACAATGTTAATAGTTACTAATCCCTTTATTTCACTTTTTTTAATCTAGCATATATATTTTGTCCATGCCTAGTGCATAAATATATAGGTCATAACCTATTGACAATTTTGGTATAGTGTATACTCCTTTGATTGAATGCTTGTAAGAACTCTTCCATCTTTCAACTTTCAAGCTTTGATTTTCCATCTTTCGACCTTCATGCTTTGTTTTCTTTCATTTATATGACTCTCTTGTTTTTTCATTGAAATGAGTTTTTTCTTTTCATCCCATATTCACCCTTTAAGATAGGCTAGCATCCATGGCAAGTATTTTGCACTTGAATAAAACATGAGATACTATAATCTGATACACAAGTAATTGTAAAGATGTAGCATGAGTTCAGTATTAATCTCTCTTGCAAATATTTATCTGAAACAATTCATAGAAATTGATTGTCTTCACTCCCAAAAAATTAAAAATAGAGGCTTGTGTGTTTTGGAATTTGTCTGGCTGCAGCTTGTTTGTTATTGTGATCTCTTTTGTCCATATCAAACTTTTTTAACCGTCAATGCTTGCACAGCTTTACCAACCTGGTTATACCGCCCCCCCTCGTCCACCTCCTCCTGAAGAGACTGCTATTGACATTGGGTAGGTTTTGTTTTTTATACACTTCTGCTTTACCCGTGTTCATGTAATTAAAATTCTGTTTTCTTTGAATTTTGGGCGTGTATACTTTTGATTCTAGCAATTTATTTTCATCGTGATGTCATCCCGTGTAATGATTTTTTGGTTGTTGAATGTGTCTTGAAGTGGTGGATGGACAATTTCTGGCACCCCTTTGGATCTGAATGATCCTCGCCTTTTGGCGATGGCTGAGGCAGAGCGTCACTTTTTGGAGGCTGAGTATGATGACTATGCTGCTACAAATGCCAGTGGGGCTGCATTTTGCCGCTCAGCTGCTCTAATTGTAAGCCCTCATAGATCAAAATCAATCCCTCTTTTTCCTGTGCTTTCCTATTCAGGTTAATGTACCCTTTGATCTATGTTGTTCCCAGTTCAGGCAGGTCTGCTTAGAAGTGCTAAACTATGGTCTATGATACGACAACCAAGAGACTGCACATTTAATCTGATAGTTATCTTTGCTATTATTAGATGTTTTGTCCAACAGTATCGGGATATGTATCTGTATTGGTGATGCCGTCATATGTCGGACAATATCAGCCGATATATTGATGAAAAACTGTATCGTAAGTCTAAAATCCTGAAACGTAACGGCCAATATTTAAAACACTAGCCATGATTGTGTCATTTCCAAAGCTGGGAAAAAAAACTGTGTTACCTTTGCTTTTGCTTTCTAGCAGAGATGATAACTTTGTTATGCACTACAGGGAGCTGCAAAAGTTTCCCCTTTAGGTTGGCTGCCTAGGTTTTCTATATATAATATCATTCTCCTGAAGTTTCTCGTTTTCTCAGCTTTTTGATCATTCATATACTTTTGATTGGCAGTTAATGGCTCTTCTGCTCTTGAGGCATGCAATGACAGTGACAGATCCTGATGCTGATGCTGAGGGAGATGATGATGTATCCACCTTCTTCTCTGTAAGTGTGATTTGAAATTCTGTTCTTGATCTACCATCTTTTATATATGTTGTCTGGTTTTCATGTATATGATCATTCTGTAGTTTAATGAAGTTTATTAACTACCGATTATTCTCTTGCAGCTTTTCTTGCTTCGGGCGGCTGGATTTCTTTTGCCGTGCTACATCATGGCCTGGGCAGTCAGTATCTTGCAGCGTCGACGTCAAAGACAGGTTAGCATCTCCTTTACAGAAAATGTTGGAAAATGTTTTCATATTTTCTGATGTTTGGCATAGCGGAAAACGAAAATCAATAGAAAACAAGTTTATTTACGTAGGAAAATGTTTTCCACTTCTGAAAGATGAAAAACATTTTTTTGACTAAAATCTTACCTATGCCACCGCACCACCGCCACCACCCTACTACCATCATTCCCACCAACCCACCTCCTTTCTAAAAAATGTTGGAAAATGTTTTTCATAACGGAAAACGAAAATCAACAGAAAACAAGCTTATTTAGACAAAATATTTTTCACTTTTGAAAGATAAAAAACGTTTTCTAGACTATAGTCTTATTAATGCCACCACCACCCTGCTACCATTACTCCCACCAACCCACCTCCAACATGCTGCCACCACCACCACTAACACCTACTACCATTACTCCCACCAACCCACCTCTAACATGCCCACCACCATCACCACCACCACTAACACCACCTACACCTCCACCTGACCACCATCACAACTGATGTAACCACTACAACATTAGTTTTAAGGACACAACTAAACATAGGAAAATATTTGTCAAGACGAATAGAGTGTATGCCTTACCAAATTATCCATGAATTTATTCACCCAAAAAAAAAATTATCCATGAATTTTTTCCGGCATCTGATATTCCAATGCCAATGTGATGCCTGTTTACTTTTTCGTGAGCACTTGTTAATGTCGGGGATTGATATGTGTTTTTTTGTACCTGGGTTGGAACTGTTTTATGAAACAGGAAGCCGCAGCATTGGAAGCAACACAATTTGCATTTGTGCTGCAGTCAGGTCAAACCAGGGGTCTACATTTCACCATAGCATCGGCACCAACGGTTACTCCACGCCAAGAAACTGTCTAATATTCATGGAAAACTACGAACTTGGATTGTCGTTATCGCCGTCATTTGAGGATAGTGTTTCAGCCTATATATCTGGTGGTGGTGTTGAAGAGACCATTCTCCGATTTACTCTGTTCTTTTTTTCTTTTTCTTTTTCTTTTTTCGTGTTTATGTATTTGTTGTACATGAATGTTGCATCTTAGCATCAGTTGCTATCTGTTGTCTCATGTGCACTTTATATTTCTTTTAAAAAAAAAAAATTTGTTACATTTCTGATATTGAATTGATTGTTGATAGAAACTTACCAATGTTGTCAATTTAACCATAGCCAGATTTGCTTTTAGGCTATGTCTGGATGATAAGAATTTTAACTAGGAGTGAGAATCTCATTATTAAGAACATAATTTGTGTCAATTATATTCAACTGTTTGGTTCATATTTTTATTTCAATATGTTCTAAACACTGAAATCATGGGTGACTCGTTTTTAACTCCGACGAATTTTGTTTGGGTAAACAAAAATCAAATAAAGAAGTCTAAAATTATCATAATTTTTGTTTTTTAATATATTTATCCACAACTATAAATAGACCTTACACTGGAGCAACATTGTGGTTAAAAAAACATTTGGTCCACATAATATTTTCTAATGACTTTTTCAAGCTCCATAACCCAAAAAATTTAAAAAAAAAAAAAATTTAAATTACCATTTTATTATTTTTATGGTATGCTTTTTTTTTTATTATTATTTTTATTTTAATCAACTTCTGAGCATAATATAATCAATGGGGCCATAGTTGACCAATAATCTTTCCACTTCATCAGGATTTTGAGAGTTTCTTCATTTGTAAATATTTTTTTTTTTTTATATTTATCATAACGAAAATTCTTGTATTTTATTGTGCGCTTATAACTAGTTAAATTTCCCTTAGTTGAATGTCCATTATTTGATGTAATTATTATGATATTTATAATTGATCTATTACATATTAAAAAAAGAAAAAAGAACAAGCATCTCCTTTAACTTTGTGTTTGGAGACATTCTGATTGTAGCTGTCACCTTTGTCTCATAAACTAACCTTAAGCAAATATGTCTCCTACACATTAGGTTCCTCAAAAAACTTACTCCTTCTAATCTAAGCCATTCATTCAGCATACCAATTACCATCTCCTACCTCTATGTTTTGATAATATGATCTAAGATTACAGTAGGTCACATTCACACTGATCAAGGAGTCCTTTCCACATCAAACTCTTGATCAAACACTGATAAGTGGTTCAGATTCAAGCATGAATCACAATCTAACTAAACCCGATTTTCATTTGATGGCAGGGTTAAAAATTAATGTGATGCTAAAGTTTCTATTTATAGATATGCTTGTGTTAACTTGATTATTTGTCTTTCTTTGTTATTAATTTGATTTTCTCTATAATAGTTATCATAGTTTAAGAAGTAATTACATGCCACTATAAAAGATGATACCGAAAATATAACCACCATATATACATACAGAAAAGAGATGTAGAGAAAGAATAGAGATGGTGGAGAAATAATGTAAACTTTATAAGAGAATATTTTAACATAATTATCATTTAAAGTGACAAATTGCAGAGATTTTGTTGAAAGAAAAGGTAATGAAAAGAGGAGTTATATTTCCTCTAAAATAAAAAATTAAATAGTAAAAATAAAAAAATAAAAATAAAAAAGAGAAGAAGAAGAAGAAGAAAAGAAAGGAGAATATTTTCAAAGGAACAAATTGAAAACATTTTACTCATGTGGCTTTGTCCCTGGATCCAATGGTTATCGTAGTAGATGAGGTCTTCTCTTATTCGGTGGGAGGTCCGGCTTCGAGCCCTGCTCATTGGTTGAGTAATGAAGCTTCACCTTCACCTACACCCTTATGTTAAAGAAATCTTAACAATGTAAGAACATAAATAAGAATTCAGGAAAATAATCTAAAAACAGGGACATGATAGGTAACAATCACCAATTCAGCTTTGCTTTGCTTTATTTTTCTTTCTATGTGGCTCAGTCTGAGGGCTTTTCAGATTCAACCATCTCCCCAAGACCATACAGACCAATGGCTCCATTGCAATGGAGCCCATAGTTTTGAACTAAAGTTCCAAAAAGCCAATACTTTAAGACCAACCTCGAGAATCTACAAAGCAAACAACTCAATTCTATATGTGTGTGGGTGTGTGTGTGTTTAGATAAATTAAGCCATGTATATTGTGCAATCTTTCACTTTTTGTGTGTTTGATAAATTCTATTCCAGAGGTGGAGAGACATCAAACTATACTATTGAGATTCCAATAAAGAACTTTAATGGAAGGCAAGAGTATCTAATAAGTACATTAGCCCTTAAAATAGTACCTAAACCGCACCTGAAATCAAAGCAAAAGGGCCCATGTAGCATTTAAATTTATTTCCATAATTGGCATTGCCATCAAAAGATGTTCATATGCATTGTATTAGGAGTAACAAACTAGATACATCCTGATATCTATGTCTGTATTCAATAGGGAAGCCAGGATTTTGATTAAGGGAAGCAATATCGAATTCCCTTAGCACGAATTATAATCCAATTGAATCCAAGTTTCATTTGACAGAAGGAGTAAAAATCAACGCGATGCCAAACTTACATTTAGAAAATATGCAGGTTAACCCATCAATTTTATTTTATTTTTGTTTTTTTGATTATTAATTTGATTTTCAATGTAACGATCATTATAGTTTAAAAAGCAATTGGATGCCTCTGTAAAAGATGAGAACAAAACTATATCCACATATATACTCACAAAAAGATATACAAAGAGGAACAATCAAGAGGAAAGAATGAGAGATAATGAATAATTTGAAGTTTATAAGAGAATATTTTAATAAAATTAATTAAACATTTGAAGTGACAAATTACAGGAATTATGTTAAAAAGAAAAATTAAAGAGAATAGAAGGTACAAAAATTCAGAAAAATACTTGAAACTGCAAAAGAACAAATTAAAAACATTTTTTATTAGAGGCAAAAGTGTGATTTTCAAAAAATTGAACGGGGTATGTGCCTCACATGCCCTGTCTGTATTTATACCATATTTGTTGCAGCCTTGAATTCAACGGTTGGGATGACTGTGGTGGTTGTAACTATTGGCTCGTTATACATTTCTGCTTACACGGTGTTGAATTTTCTTGCGTATTTGAATGTTCAATCTAATATTTGTAAGTCATCATCTCCTGATTGAGAAAAACAAAATTACGTACACACTACATAAATCAATACAAATTATGCAGATCTTCATTCAACAAATTGAGCTATACGAGACAAATTTTAACATACTTTCTAATTCAAAATATTCTCTCTATATTTTTGTTAAATTTATGAGAACAAATTTTCCAGGGCTTCAATAAAACTGTCACGTTTGGATTTATAGCAGAACAAATCTCCTAGAATAACAGTCAACATGCTTGGTTATTATTTTTCAAAAATATTTTTCATAAAATTTTATTTTCTTTTTTTGTTTTTACTAAATTTTTTTAATATTTTGAGCAATTTTTTTTTAATTTTTAGACATACCTAACATAAATATACCTAAAAAGTAAAAAAAAAAATTGAAAAAAACTTTTTAAAATTCACTAAATACCAAAAATACACAAAAAAAATACGAGAATTCAGTACATTTTTTATATTTTTATGTATTTATTAATTTTTAAAAATATTTTTTTACAAATTTTTTACTTTTTAGATACATCTAAGTAAGGTGCATCTAAAAAAGTAACAAAAAAAAATGTTTAAAATTTTAAAAATATTCACTAAAAACAAAAAAACACGAAAACTAAAAAATTCAATTTTCAAAAAACTTAATTCAAAAAACTCAAACCAAACAATTATCAAAGAAATTTTGACAATAAGAGTAGAAAATAGAAAGTGGTAGGGAATGCATGTGTGTGTACCATTCAATGGCATTGATGCAACAGTTCTTTTAAGTCCAAGTTGAGATATGGAACCTTGGATGAGACTATAAAGCAACAAGGGAATCACTATTTTTCAGTGTAATTGGAGGATAAAATAGCAGAGAATCATCATCCCATAATAACAGTTCTAAATGAGGTTGTATTGCTTTAGACTATGACCGGTCTCGCTTCACCTCAAGCCGCCATCAAATCCCATCACGTAAATTCGATAAAGCATAAGAAACTATACTTTAGAATGTTCCAACTTGCGTGTAACTTTGTATATAACAATTATTTAAACAAATAAATAAAAATTGGGAAAGATAGTCTACATGGATAAACCAGAGAAAAAAAAAATTGCAAATTCAGAGAGAAAGAAAAAAAAAAAGCATAAAGAAACACATTTAGCACAAGAAACCAGGATTGCAATTTTGGTTGCATAGAGAAGAGAGCTTGGAATTCTAAAGTGAGATCTTCAAATAGCATAAAGCAAGTGTTTGTTTTTTTAGGGGAGTGTTCTATTCCTCCATTCCTTTCCATATCATTCCATTCTTCTTTATGACTAGCTGATCTCTCACCTCTGTTGCACTCTTAATAGTTTTGTCTGGCTGATGATCTTTGTCTGCCCAATCACCTTAAAAAAAGAAAAAAAAGAAAAAAAAAACTTCCTTTCCTTCATAACTAAGGAATAGTAATTTACCTATGTGCCCCTCCATATAAATCTTCATCAATAATAAGAAACTTTCATGTCTTTGTTTGTACCATGCACACTTAAGCACAGTTCGTTGATGTGGCAAGATGGCTAGGAAGAGACTGGGTTGGTCTTTCTCTAAGGAGTAGGGATACAAGACATGTCAATTTTGAAAAAATTAAGATATAGGCACGGTTGAGATATAGCAAAAATACATTTTTTATATATATTTTTATTTTTTTTGTGTTTATGAATATACATTTAGGACACAAAAATATAAGAGGCATCAATCTATATGTGGATGTATTTTTATTTTTTTTCTCACTTTTCTACCTTTTTGTTGTCATAAATTTTACTTTGACCCCAAATCAATTTTCTAAAATTATAAATAAAAAAACTCACATAGGTATTCTAATGCATGTCCAAACATAGGACGTGTGTGTTCATGAAATATCCTAAAAAAATAATAATTAAAAAATTTGACACATCAAGTCACGCGTTAGTGTCCCATACGTGTTCAATACGGACATGACACCCATTTTAAAGTATCAATGTTTCATGTCTTTGTTTGGTAGACAAAAGCAGCACGAGATCATGTCCTCAAAATCACTGTCCCTATGTTCTCAATGCACTCCCAACCACACAATCGTGCCTCGAGATTCCCACCATCATATCATGTGATTGGGAGTGGATTGGGAACAAATACAAGAATTTTGGAGACAGAAGATCTTGACCCGACAAAAGAGCGGAAATATGATGGAGACCGGGTTGGTCTTTGTTTAGTAGACAAAAGCAGAGCAAATGATAGAATAATAAGGGAAACAAATGCCAAAAAGATGCTTAGCTTCTCAAGGGTGCTGTTCCAACACCTTTATCAACATAGGCAGATTCTCCTATAACAGCCTTAATTTTGCTTAGCTAGCTTATGATTGGCATGAATCTAAAATTCCTCTAGGTTTTTTGGGACCCTCCCAACTTTAACACTTTAACTCCCATATAAGATAAATTGCTTGCTTACATCTACAGGAATGTATGACAAGAAAGAAGGATCACGATCTTAGGCTTGCTAATTCTCTTGTCACTCTTCTAAAATATATAGAAACACCTTGCCTTCTTGTTTGCGAAGAAACCATGGTCTTTAGCTTGCAAAGGCTGTTTATTCTTCTTATCTGTATTGGCTTCTTCGCAGTTCAATCAGCTAAAGGTTCCAGACTGAGAAGTATAGACCTTTTTCTAAGATGGAGCAAAGAAGATGACGTGTCAGTGCTGAAGTATCATCATCGCACACTTAAGGCTGTGGAAATACAGGCTGTGAATACAGAGAAGAAACAAGCACCTGTAAGCAAGAAATTTGATCCAAATCAATCAAGCAAACGAGGAGTTCGAAAAGGATCAGACCCAATTCACAATAGGTCTTGATATGTTTCAAGATGGTTCTTCAACTAGGAAGACTTAAAAGAGGATAGGAAGGAAGTTGGAAAATACAGAAAGAAACAGCATGTGTAACACCAGAGCAAACTAGAAGGTGGTAAAATGCACCTTCTTCACTTCCTTAAGGTTGTGTTTGGATTTATTGAGGAAAGATTTGCGAAGGAAAAGAAAAAGTTAGGGGAAAAAAATTAGCTTATATTTCATTCATTTTTAACTTCCCTTCACAAATCTCTCCCTAAATCCATGATCCAAACACAGCCTAAGGGGTTGATGGGTTGGATTTTCCATTTTCTTTCACGAAGTTTAACTATATAGAATGTGCACAGTCAGGGCTGTTAAAGGACAGCTTTTGAAGCATCTAGCAAGCCAGCATTGTCTCCACATAGTGTCGACATCAGAGTCAGTGAAGATGGTGCTGGCTCTCAAACAGAAAATGTCTTCTTCTTCTTCTTCCCTTTTTTTTTTTTTTTGTTTTTTTTTTGCATTTGTTTGAACAAGAAAATTTTATCTATTTGCATTTGTTACCAAAGCATCTTAGATATGTGCAATTCTTTTTGTTTCTGCCACTCTACAAAAAATCTCTTAAATTGTAAAGAAGCTACAAATGGACTTCAACTGTTTCTCAGATTAAAGATATGTAAAAATCATTTATATCAGTAAAAGAAGATAGAAACAAACAATTATATGTAGGGGAAAATTTAACAATGTTTTCTTTATCTGCACTCAACATAACAGTCTCTGCCACATACTCGAGCCTCATATTGAATAGATGCATTATGCTACATAGTAGAATTTGATGTTCTTTTTGTTAGTTGGATTGGAAGGAGATATAAGAACTTATTCTCAATGTAACTGGGCTAAATCTAAATTTGAGTAAAGGTTAACTTCGAAAACTCTGACCAACAATGGCTTCACCAGGTTAGGGACAGAGCATCTCCCAGAAATTCTACACAGTAAACTTGCATTTCTCTGACCTACAGTACATACATGTTATGTATATTTTCCACAAAGGATTCTTTTATAGTTATTTTATTTCATTTTATTTTATAATTTTGGGATTTGAACTTGGGCGTCCAAGGAATTCTTTCATACTTACAAGTGAAAAAAGTGAATCCTTCACTAGCAAAAACTCTATTAGCTCAATTTCTTTTCTAAGACTGAAAACTAGCACATAATACAATGCCTCTGGTGAAAATCATCAGGTTTTTTCCATGATTTGGATTGATTGTCAAATGTCACATTTAGCCTTTCAAATTGCTCGATTAGAAATACCTTACTTTACATACTGAATTTCACAGGATGGACTAGAAGTTTGAGCAGTCCATATATACACATAACTGACCCAATATGGCAACAATGAAGCTGATTTAAGTAAAAGTATACAGGCAGAAATTGGTATAAAATCATTCAGTACAATGTTGATGTGACAGAAGCTAAAAATAAAAAGTGGACATCCTTTTCTATATGTGAGAGAATCATAAAGTTCCACACGAAATTGTCCTCAATGACCATGAACATAATCAAAAACAGAACTATAGGTCTCTTTAGGCTGTAGCAAATTGAATAATAATTTGGTTGTCGGATGACAAAGTGTACTTGCAGTAATGGGGATATTGGATTCAAGGGTGAAAGTGAAACTTACAGGAGCACTTAGCATCCATAAAGGTCAGGACACCAGATTCCTCAGATCTCTTCTACATAATTTGATATCAAATTTCAAAATGTTGTTCATTTCAAACAATAACAGAAGTTATAAATGTCTGTCTCAATGAAGCCACTAATTACTGAGGCTATCCAATCTACTTGTTTAGCAAATTCAAATAGATGCAAGTTGGGTTGGGACTAACAATCTTGGGGTTTTATTAGGAATTTTCCAAGAATGCAATAAAATCGGATGTATTAATTTGAGCTATCAGGCATATTTTATTCATGTAAGTTGGATCCAGTGAATAATTTGTAGCACAAAGAAGCCGACATTGAAGATTTTGATTGAAGAGTACAAGAAGGCCCCTAAAAAAGAGACTAATAGCTTGCAAAACTAGTCACATTGTATCAGACAAATATGACTATGCTAAACAATCTGCTTCCTGAAAAATAGTGTTTTTAACACTCTTATGCACTATGAAGCACAGACACAGACATGGAATATTAACACAACACCGAAAATCCTAATAATCAAGACACAGATATGTCTAGGACACACTACAATAATTGTGCTTATATATTTATTGAGTTTATATATATATATATATATATGGTAGGAATTTAAATTTTACAATAAGAGTGTTGGAGACATGTATATTTTTTTAGTCATATATGGCCTAAGAAGTGTTTTGACATGTCACAAAAGAATTGTCATTCACGTGTCCAAACTAAAAAATTCAATTTCTTAAATGTGGTCATTGAAAAGGGAGTGTTGGATGCATGTTATAGGAGTGTTGGTGTCCAACATCTACGCTTCAACATCTTAGAAGTTTTCTTAGCTGATGCAAACCAGCTTTTCTTAGTTTGAAGGATCGACAAAATATCAACTATCACCCTACTCAGACCAGAACACAGTTCTTTTAAAATCTTCTCGGTATCATAGAGAGCCCAAATATTTGTTTTGTAGTTGAAATTTGAATAGTTATCATTTTATTTTATTTATTTTATATTTTTATCTCTACCTCTTTGTTGTTCATATTTAAATATTTATCATTTTATTTAAATATATATAATCTTTTTAGCTTTTGAGATTTAGATAATTGACAAATGATTAAAAATTAGAAAAAATGGGAGGAGAGACTTGAGAAGTGACACGTAAGAGAGAGAATCCATAAGAATTTAGTATTAAGACTTTGGAGAATTTTCATACTTCACTACATTTGTTTATATATATAGTATAGATATATAATTATGTTAATACTTATATTCCAATACTTATTTCTCAGACTTTCAAATTATGTGAAATGTGAACGTTCACACTAATTGACAAAAAAATAAAAACAATTGCAGCAATAGAATTATAAATTCAAAAAAAAAAAAAAAAAAAACCCAAACCCCCAAAAAAAAAAAAAAATAAATAAATAAATAAATAAATAAATAAATTCAAAAAAAAAAAAAAAAAAAAATCCACACCTAATTCCCCATTATTTTTGGCTTTCCTTTCAGACCAGCATGGATCTCTTCCGCAACGCCAAGGCGGTGCACCTCCGCAGCCACCACGACAAGTACCTCCTCGCCGACGACGACGAAGACTTCGTCACTCAAGACCGCAACGGCTCCGCCAAGAACGCCCGCTGGACCGTCGAATTCGTCGACGACGACAGCGGCAGAGCCAACTTCCTCCGCCTCAAATCCTGCTTCGGAAAGTACCTCACCGCCTCGAACCAGCCATTCCTCCTCGCCATGACCGGTCACAAGGTCGTTCAGAGCTCACCGGCTGGCCGGCTCGACTCGTCGGTGGAGTGGGAGCCGATTCGGGAAGGGAATCAGGGGAAGTTGAAGACGAAGTTGCTTCTGATTCAAGCTCGCCTTCCACTCATTCTGCTAATTTTTTATCTAATAGTTTTGGACGACAAGATGAGACAGAATGCACCAAGAACATCATAGAATATATGATTAACAAGCTCGGCATGGAGGAGGATAAATTCTCTCTGTCTCCCTCTTCCTTTTGGCAGAGTTGAAAATTGAATACCCACTCTCTCTCTCTCTCTCCTATTTCTATTTTTCTCTTCCTTTTGGCAGAATTGAAAATTGCATACCCACTCTCTCTCTCTCTCCTATTTCTACTTTCCAACCACCATCTACTTTCCTATTTCTTTTCTTTTTTTTTTTATATTTACTTTACTCCATCTTTTGACAAGCCCACGACACACCAAGCAAACCCATCATCTTCCTTTTCCATTAGTGGTTGGACCCGCCCCACTACATTTGACTCTCTCATTTCTTTTTTATTTTTTATTGCTTTACCCTTCACACACTTCTCTTCTTTTTTATTTTCTTTTATACTTTATTTTCTTCCCCCTTCCTCTCTGTTTATGTCAGTGCGCTACATAGCCTTCTCTGCGCAGCACATGGATATGAGTAAAAACAAAACAAACAACTAAAACAAAAAAAAAAAAAAAAAAAAAAAAAAAAAAAAAAAAAAAAAAAAAAAAAAAAAAAAAAAAAAAAATAAAAAAAAAAAAAAAAGACCACATAACAAATTCAACAACTGTTTATAGAATTATATACACTCAAGTCAAGCTAGAAATAAATTAAATGTTCAAATCTCCATGTAAAAATTTTGAGAAGATACCATCATAATTATACCTTTACATCTACATTGTCAAACTGAGTGTCAACATCATACACACGAAACCTGCAATAGAAGGTAATTTCTCAAGGTAAATGAAAATCAGGACATGAGTATTCACTTAGTTAAGAGCTGATATGGAAGCAGACATAAGTATTCACTGAAACGTACACCAAAGTCTGCACCACCTCAAAATAATATGTAACGGTATGCTTTCTGATCCACTTGGGATTCAATGAATTTAACACTACTTCGGTACGGCCAAGCTCTTGAAGCGCACCATCTCTTCCTTTTGTGTAAACAACCGCCATAGGATCACTCTGAAAAAAGGAAGAAAGGAAAAATAGCCTGATAAGTTGGCAGTGTCCTTTTCTACAGCAGCAATAGGAATGATATAACTAAAAGTGAAACATTATTTCAGATTAAGAAAATAAATTTTCAATAGTTGAAGGAGCCTAAAGATATGGAACTTGTAAGAAAGTTGAAAGAAAAAACTGAGTTTCTAGTAAAAGATATGATGACATGACAAAATTTTTTAAAAAATAAAAAAGCATAACCACAGGTTTCTATGCAGAAAGACAACCTAGTAAGTTCCCAAAATTTACCTATTATTAGAGCTGTTTCTTTATTTATACATTTTTTTCTCATATGAACCCCCAATTCTCATTGTATTAAGATGAAAACAATAATAAATAGGGCAAATTTTATTTTACCCGCTTGTGGTATGACCCAATAGCACTTGCCCCCTTGTCTTTTAAAAATAGCCACATGCCTCCCATATGATTTTGGACTAAAATGCTACAGTAACATTTTCCATCCAAACTAACGGGAGTGTCTCACATGCCTATTTTGAAAATGGAGAAGGAAAAAAAATTAGTCAAAGTTAAATTTCAATGTAAGAATACCAAACTAGCCTTGTTTTACCTTTCTTTATCTAAATTTCTTATTTAATAACATTTTACATTAAATATACATATTATATACATACATATAACAAATTAAATTAACATAAATACCTTAATTTATTATTAGAAAAATTAATCATCAAACTACTTTAATCTAATTTTTAATTTTTAACCCAATTTTTTATTTAATAACATTTTACAATAAACATAAACATACATATATATATATATATATAACAAGTTAAATCATAAATTAAACTAAACACCCTAGATTATTACCATAAAATTACCTTATTTAATAACATTTTAAATTAAACATATACATATATATATCAAATTAAATCATAAATTAACCTAAATAACTTAATTTATTACCATAAAATCTTAATCTAATTTTTAATTTTTAACCCAATTTATTATTTAATAACATTTTAAACTAAACATGTACATATATATTTTATTTGTTGGAAATGGGAAGAAAATAATTCTGCCTTGGATATGACTGAATTTTTTGGGATACCACAGTTGTAAATGTTTAGATTTAGTCAATACTATAGAATAGGAAAGTTTATATTTAGAATCAGAATTAGTAGCTAATCAGTCCTCAGAATCAGTAGCTAATTAGTTCCTAATTTTAGGTCTTGTATCTCCTATAAATAGAGGTGATGTGTACAAAACATTAATTCAAGTTGGCTTGCAGACTTAGCCTAGATAGTGGAATCGCCACCCATATCTTTGAATTTGATGACTCCCTGAATCATCCCTAACCAGAAAGACATAAGCATGACTTTCAAGTAATTGAACAAGCTATAACAGTAACAGAATAAATAAATAGTGTATTCATGAGAAGTGTTAGGTAGCATCAATTGGGAATAAGACCAAAGAAAATTAGATTAGATAATTAGGCCACATAATATCTAAGTGTACACACTAGCAAGTACAAGTAACCTGATACCAGTTGGAGCTATAATATTTCACCAATTATGGATGGAAAGAAACAATTATTTCTACATCCAAATGAAAACAATCGTCTATTGTTTAACACATCTCAGTAACAAATTCAACAACTGTTTATAGAATTATATACACTCAAGTCAAGCTAGAAATAAATTAAATGTTCAAATCTCCATGTAAAAATTTTGAGAAGATACCATCATAATTATACCTTTACATCTACATTGTCAAACTGAGTGTCAAAGGAAAGGAAATTTTATGAGTAAAAGTTAAAGCTCCAACTTTCAATAGAATATGTTGAGTGGAAAATAGTGGCAAGTGGTGGTTAGTGTTGGATAGTAAAAAAAAAAAAACTGAAAACTCAAAATGGAAACACATTTTTTGTGTTTTTATTTTTTGGCCAAATTTATAAACTGAGACCATTGATTTATAAATCTAAAATTTTACCAAATAAATTTTTATTTGAATTTTTTTAATTTTTATAAATATAAATAGAAAACTGAAAACGTAAGTGTTACCAAACGGCACTTAAATTTCTAATGAAAAGCATCCATATCTCATATGAATTAAAATTGTAAAACTTATTATATTTTTAAAATATTAAAAAGTGTCAATATAATTTACATATTATTATTATTATTTATAGTACAAACCCCTCGCTCTCTCTCCCTCATTGATGTGTAATGACGGTAGAAGGCGTGAATGCATGCTGCAGAAGAGTGAAGGCATGCTCTGCCCTTCTCACCCATTGTAAATTTAGGCCATAACCCTTTATTTTGTAGTCCCTAACTACCCTTTATCTGTAGGTCATACACTCGTGGTCTTCCCCTAACTGAACCACAATTATTGCACAAAGGGCAGTTCTTATGCTGAACATCACTGGTATAATTGCAATATTTTTTATTTTTAGTAATTCCACTATGTGATTTTAGTGAAATTTTACTTTAATTTTTGTATATTTTTATTTATTTTTTGATATTGTCCTTTCCTCATTGTCCATTAATATTTCTGATAAAAAAAAAAAAGACATGTATGAATGTATAAAGATTGAAATAGAATTTAAGTAAAATTTTACAGACTATCAATGTAATTTATTTATTTATTACAAAGAATAGTGGAAATATCAATGTGAGTCACACATGATTTTTTTTTTTTTTTTTCATTCATCTAAGTTGCTAGCAACAACTAACGAAATTAAAACACAATTAAAATATGAGATTAATATTGATGAAAGCTGATGCTATCACCAAGTGGGCTTTTGTTTTATGCATAGAAGAAAACCGCTCATGGATGCATCTTGCCATTCATTGTTTGCAATGGCATGACATGTATAAAATTTTCAATTATAGATAAGTTTATGAACGGGGGATAAATATTCGATAACGCCTACACTCTTTGCGTCTAAGCTCCGCTTCTATCTGATTAACCTACGAACACAACGGCAGTAAGCTACCCGACGGTGTGTTACCGAAAAACCCCTCTGACGATCAAATTAGCACACACTCAGAGAGAGAGAGAGAGAGAGGTGGATGAATGTTAAAGTTTTTCTCACCAACTGATGTTCCATCTCCAGCATGGGGGGCGCAGTCATATTTATATACTTTCTGCGCTCACCTCTGTATCCATTCGTCTATTGACACGTGGAGCTGCTCTCCTATCATGCTCTCTCACCTGTCAGTGCAAATTCAGCTAAACACCACCTAATTAAACCATCACACGGTATTGGCAGGAACGGGCAACCCGACGGCATCACCCCGGCTTCATACGACCGTGCTACTTAACGAGTCCAATAGTGCCACTCACCGAGCTCCATTACAACCGAGCTCAGTAGCATTCTGGTACGACTAAGCTCCAGACAGGTTAGGCCTGTCCGCAGAAGACCTTTCCTGCGTGAGCTAAATGTGCGAACAATAAAACCCAGGTAGACAGATGATCATATCGGCTGAATGGGCCCTGGACCTCAACCGAGCAAACCAACTCTGGACAAGCCCAAGTTAGCTCAGCCCAAACACACTCAGACCTCTTTCTGCCCGGACTCTACCATGGCCCAAAGCCAAATTATGAATCTCCCTCTCAATTGCCCATTAATTCCATCCGCGCAAGCGTGACAGGGATTACTTGATCCGACCGGGGTCAATTCTCCGCCTGGCCCTACTCTGCAACACATTAACCGCGCTGTGACAACCCTCACCTCTGATTAGCGTTAATTTGTGATTAAGCATGATAAGTAATTGATTAAGATGAAATCCTAAATTGATTACATGAGTGTGTTATTTTAATTATACTCCTATCTGTTTGTTACAGAATGATCTGTTCATGTTTTGATTTCAAATTGCAAATTGAAAGCCTTATCGGCGACTGATTCAGAAATTGACTTGATCTTTATGCTAATTAGGAATTATAGAATTTTATAGTAGGTTTAATTCAATTTGGAATGATTAAATTGGAATAAATAATGCTAAATTAATTGAATATAGGTTATTTACATTTTTGCCATTGAGTGGATTAGTACAAGATCAACTCTTATTACACTCCATATATGTTTGACACATCATCTTTGGCCTCCTCCTTTTGCACACACGTAAGAGAGGGAGAGACTTAAGGGAATTGAATTCAACAAGAGTTTTTTCTTGAAATTTAAAAGAATTAAAGGAAATTTTGAGGACTTGTCTACATTGCTCAAGGATTTGGCTTAGGTGAAGTTTAATTGAGAAGCCTAGGTAAGAGCCCAACCTTTTAATCTTGTTATCGAGCCATCTAGAACTTGTATATAAATGAAATAGGTGAATTCATGGATTAATTGAACTAGAATTTAAGGAAGTCAAGTGAATTCATGAATGCATGTCCATATCATGGAATTTTGAAGTTGTTTTCATGAAATTCTTACATGCATGCCCATATTATGGTTGTACTCTAGAATTTATCATGTTTTTTAGTTCAATCTTGCATTTGATCATGCTTTAGAGTTTTAGAGTTCATGAGAACTCATGCATGTAATGTTCTTATAATGTTCATAAAGTTTTAATTGAAATTTGGTTCAATTGGCATACTTTGGGGCCTTGATTTAATGAAATAGTCTTTAAATCATGAGGTATTATAAGTTTCTAAGTATTTTCCAGAAAACTGGCCCAAAAGGATGAGTTTTGAAATGTTTGATCCATGGTTTGAGCTTTGGAAGCAAATTTGAAAAACCCAGAATTTGGCTTCCTCGCTCGAGCGACTACCTTTGTTTCCAGACTTTTGCTCAAATGACGGAATACTGGCTTGATCGTCAATTGCAAGCTCTCAGGTTTTTGCGTGTGCAGACGTACGCTCGAGAGACGAGACCTATGCTTGAGCGAGGAACTGTATCTCACGCTCGAGCGAGCATCGAGCGGAGAATTTCAGCAATCAGTACTTTTCACATTTTTGCAGATCGCTCGAGTGAGGGAGACTACGCTCGAGCGACCTCTCTCATTCAGTAAGCTCGCTCGAGCGAAGAAAGCTACGCTCGAGCGAGACCCTTGTTTCCTACAAGTTTTGAAAAATATTGTTAAGTACATTTTTGCATCCTCATTTCATCCTAGACATTCCTAGGCCATGTCTAAGGCATCATAATGAGGATAATGTTATAGAACCGCACCAAATCAAGTTAGGGGCTAAGTTATTAATCCCGAGTGTGTAATTTAGTGTGTATTCGTTCTACAACTGTGTAGGTTTGGCACCCAAAGACGCTGATTAGCCTACCTATAGCCTAGTAATCTGTGAGTAACAATGTTGTAAAGATATGTTCAATTATAATTGTTTTCTGAACGATTGACTGCACTGCTTTCTGAAGTGAGATTGTTTACTGAATGAATATTTGTCCTATTTTATGAACTGTACTCGTGGCATCCATAGCAACTTACTGTTACTGTCACGACCCCATTCCGCCCCTAGTAGAATGGTGTCGTGATGGCCAGTAATCCGAGATTACCGAATGCCAACTTTCAAAGTTCACACACAATCAGAGTATTACATATGGGGC